AAATAAAACAAACCAACAACTCAAACACTGAGAGACGATTGCATCTCCAATAGCTGTTTTCCAACTGATTTCTTAAAAGAGTAAACTTTCTTGTTTGTTAGCCGCACTGACTGAATTGTAAAGCTCAACAGCATTACACGTGAAAGATCTCTGATATATAGAGGTGTAGTGAAGAGGAATATTGAACTGTTCATCATGACGTAACCTTCTTGAAATTAAATTCCTACGCGGAACTAACTTATTTGCAAGGTAAATAGGTCTCTTGGTAACGACTGTTTTATGTACAAAAACCAACATATGAAACTTGAAAAGATTATTGAGCTTCAGCCACCCCAGCTCACAGATCTTGGATGTAACATGGCTATACGAAGGCCGAAAACAAAACGACAACAACAATTTTGAATTTTCTGCAATCTGGTTTTTGTTATGAAGTCAAGACAAGGATAAAACAGTATAAAACAGTAAAGCAGCTTAGACATAACTAAACTTTCCACCAATTTCTTTCTAGTCTTGAAATTGAGAATAGAACGATTGGAGTAAGGAGTCTTAGGCTTGCATGTGTAGCTTTAGATATATTACTGACGTGGTGATGAAATCTAAGATTTACGTCTAAAGTAACACCTAGACTTTTGCATGCGTGACGAGTGGAATATGGTCATTATTTACCCTCAAATCAATCATCCTTTCAAAATGCTCATAGCTGGTTTTGGGACAGAACAACACCGCAAAACTCTTGGTAGGATTGAGCTTCAAACAGTTAGCTTTGCAATAGTCAGTTATATTTACCAGATCTAAATTTATTTTATACGAAGCTTGATCCACATTAGTAGAGTCAAAAGTGAAGGTCAATTGTGTATCGTCTGCGTAAGTATGAATACTACAAAACTGTAATACAGTATGCAAGTCAAAAGTATAAACTAAATATAGTAAAGGACCAAGCACGGAACCCTGAGGAACACCAGAAGCAACATCGGCACGCACGAGAAACTCCTTGGCTTGTTCTTATTCGTTGCTTGCGATTATTTAAGTATGATTTAAAAAAGCAAAGAGGAACGTCAGATAGTCCGTAGTTTTTAATTTGGATAGAAGCATTTCGTGGTTAACCGTATCAAATGCCTTTGAGAAATCTAACAACACCAGCACAGTGTAAATATGATTGTCTAAGTTAGAGATAATCTCATCAGTTACGTGTAATAATGCAGATGTTGTGCTGTGACCACTACGGAAACCAGACTGACAATTTGGAAATGTTGTACTCTTCAAAATATTTTACCAATTGCATATAAACAATTTTTTCCAATATCTTTGACAAGGCACACAATATACCAATGGGTCTCAAATCCGAATATTCTGTAGGATTATTATTCTTAGCCAGAGGAGTTAACAGCCTCTTTCCACAAACTTGGAAATACTCCTTTTTCTAAACAAAAACGACGATGTGTTAGATGAGGTAACACTTCAGGAATACACAAAGATCATTCCTATGTTAATTCCATCACAACCAGTTGCTTGAGATTTGATGGAAATTATAATATCTAAAACATCTTCTGGGGTAACTAAATGAAAGTGAAAGAGCGGAATGTCTGAATTAAAAGAACTTGAAATATATTCATCTACCGTGCGATTTATAAGACGGGAATTAACATTATGGGATATAAAATTTGATAAAAAATAATTGTTAACTTCGTCAGGATTGAGCAAGTGTGGGGGAATTTCTGCCTTATTTTTTTGGTAAGCTCCAAAATTTCTTAAGTGGTTCCAAAATTTTTTAGGGTTTGACTTTTCGAAATGAGCTAAATATGCTTTTTCTCTCTTTTAAGTGCAGCAAGTGCGTGATTACGCAAAATTCTGTAGTTGATCCAATTTTCTTCAGTTGAATCATGTCGAAATTATAAAGTGTGGACACATGTTGAACTTTTACCACCGGCAGTTTTCCCGCCACGGAAAAATTCTAAGGCCCTTCTCAAGTTTCTTGTAGCTCTATTTATCTCACACATTGTAGATTCCAGAAGGGCTCAAGACACAGTCGTGAAAGCTCAACGTTAGTGCCTTATAACTTTTGCCAATCCACAGTCAAAAGGGAATCATGCATATATGCATGTACATGGATATAGTGGATATTGTTTATCTAGCCTTGCTGCTCATAAACTCATAAATCCCGCTTCTGATGCCCGGACATTTGATCCGTCATCTCCGGCTTGTAGGTATCACTCACCGGATGTTATCGAGATACGAAGGCGCACAATGGGCAGTTTACGGATGCCCCGCGATGGTCTGATGCCCCGGTGACAGTCTACGGCCCCCGCGATTACGATTTCCGATAAACTGGACCCGGGCGGCACAGCGGGAAGCTGTTTCCGGGACGTTCTTCATTTTATACGACGGACTATGAGATGGAAATGCTACAAGGACTAGGTTGTAGTTTTGTGCCTACTGATACGCAATGAACATACAGGGTTTGTCCGGAAAGTAATAGGACTCATTTTCTTCGGTAGAGGGCGTTCCTAGCTAACGAATGAGCGGCTGGTCAGTTGTCTCCGAGCACTTGGAGAGTCAGGACAGGCATTTTCGCGCGACATGTTTCTGTGGTGCAAGCCGAAAATGCAGCGTTCGTTAAAAGTATTCACTGTTCATTTGCTGAGAAATTCCAAGTACCGCCCTGTCACTTATACGTAGTGTGTTCTGGAAAATTTTCAACACGCCGCTTGAGGCTTTTGAGAACGATTTAAATTACACCATCTATACCTCCCGCAATTTCTACGTATAAGGTAATATTTGATAAAGAATAAAGGTAACTCTCCATGTGTTTTGACCTTTCATAGAACCGCGTATGTAAGCTGAGTTTTTACTAACGTTTCGGCCTTTTTCACAGTACAGATCAAAAAGTAACAGTGACAATATATTCTATAAAGTGATAGTTGCCAGTTGTTGAGACACAATATGACATTCTACTGTAGTCACTGGTGCCTAATTGAAAAAACGTGAGTTAACAAATATTCAAACCTTGTAGTATGTTTAATAGTTCTCCGATCATTTAGAGCATTGATTCCCAAAGTGGTCTATATCGACCCCTAGGGGTCTATGACAACCTGCAAGGAGTCTACGTCAGCGAAAAAAAATTTGGGGGTCCATGAAATGAATATCGGGGTCCACGATAGATACACTGATACTACCTATTTACTTACATCATACTATCTTATATCAAAACATATACATTATTTATAAAAGTACCTATGAAGTAAAAAAAGTATTATATATGTTTATAAAATTGTGTAAGTTGTAGGATGTTGGTATTCGCTTTGTGGTCGCAATACATTTTGAACTTGTAAAAACCTGAGAGTCGCAGTCTCAGAGCTTCGCCACCTTGCACTGACTTGTTCAATTCGTCACTCTATAAATACGAATGTGGGACAAATACGTTTATTCGTTTCCTGAATCTTGAAAAGGAAAGTGCTAAGAAAATATTTTAAAAAATATAAACAGATAGTATATCACACAAATTATAGTGAGTCAGTGTTATTTTGTTTGAGAGTGCTGGAAAACATTATTTTTTATTAAATTTCAGTTTTGTACTCGTAGTTAGCAAAGATAGATAAATTACGCCAATCATGACTTTAGTTATTAGTAGTTAAATATAAATCATGCAAAATTAACGAGTACTCCTCAATAGTTTCTTTTTGAAAGTTTTAGCAATCGGTAATATAATTACAGTGCAATCTCCGTAATTCGAGCTAATTGTACAAGACGATGTTCGAATTATGGAATGTTTTCGAAAAATCAAAAAAATTTTTAATATACAGCTGCTGGATTTTCTGTCTTATTTAAATAATTTAATTTTGCCCACAGATGACTGATGCCATGTCCGAATCTAAAAAGAAATGTAGACAGTGCAGTGTTGATTATTTAAATTTGGCTTCATTCCATCATTGCCGGACAAACAATCGCCTATGTGCCTTTTATGCAACAAAGTTTTGGGCAATGCGCTATGAAACCATCTAAACTGCAAGATCATCTGAGAAGATGCCGCACTGATAAAACAGAGAAAGATTTGAAATACTTTCAAACACTCAAGATAAATTTCAGAAGAGACCTACACTGGACAGAATCGCTTCGACGTCACAAAGAAATGATGATGGTTATCTCGTTACTTATAGCAAATCCAGAAAACCGCATACCATCGGAGAGAAGTTAATTTTGCCAGCCGTTGAAGAGGTTTTAAAAACTGTTTTACACAAACCTGCATCTGATATCATTAAAAGAATTCCCTTAAGCAACAATACTGTTGAAAGACGTATTGATGAAATGAGTTATGATATTGAAAGCTTCTTATGTAATTATTTGCAAACGACCCATTTCTCTATACAACTGGACGAGTCAACTTTACCTGATAATGCAGCATTATTATTGGCATATGTTCGTTTTATTATGAATCAAGAAATCTACGAAGAACTGCTCTTCGCAAGAACTTTGATAACCGACACTAAAGGTGAATCAATATTTCATGTTTTGAAGGATTACTTCATTGAAAAAGCAATTCCTTTATCAAATATAATATCAGTAGCTACAGATGGAGCACCTGCCATGGTTGGACGTTATCGTGGATTTAAAAGCTATTTAAAACAAAGTGTGTCAGGGGTGTTAGCAATAGATTGCGTCATCCATCGACAACATTTAGTTGCTAAAAATTTGAGTGTTAGATTGCATGAATCACTTCATTTAGTCATTGATGCAGTAAACCGAATCCGAAGCAAGGCGTTGAATACGCGGTTATTTGCGCAGTTGTGTGAAGAAAATGACGAACACTTTCATCAATTACTCCTTCACACTGGAGTACGCTGGCTGTCGAAAGGCTTATGTTTGACAAGATTTTTGCACTTTTTGAGAATATTTTAGAATTTCTGGATACTAAAGATAAATTTTAAAAGAAAATTTAATGAAGAGGAAAACAGACATCGCCTATTTAACAGATTTGTTTACAAAATTTAATATGGGGTTAATTTGCAATTACAAGGCGATAGCTCAAATTTGATTAAAACAAAGTTCATCTTATCAGCGTATCTTGCCAGAGTTAAACTAATGAGAGCAAAATATGGACGGGGGCGAATTTTCTCAGTTCCCCAATTTGTCACAGACAAGCTGCCAGGAAGACGACGTTTCACTTACGTTCAACATTTAATTGCCCTCTATTCAAATTTTGAATCTAGGTTTGAGATATTTTGACTATGGTAATACCCTCGTGGATAATTAATCCATATGGTGACATAGAAGAAACGAATGTCATAATACAAGAGGAACTGACTGAACTAAGTACAAACGAAAACTTAAGAAGGTTCAGTTTAAAAACTGATATCAGCATTCTGGCTGCAAAACAACATACCCGTTACTTATCCCGTATTATGGATATAGCGAGGAAATTTTTAATTTCTTTTCCATAGTCATACCTGGTGGAAAGGGGGTTCAGCGCTGTTACCAATCTCCTACGAAAAAAGAAAACAGACTGGACATCATTAGCCGAGGAGATTTAAGATTAACCCTTACAAATTGACGCCAAATGTTGATAATTTATTATTAAAGCATCAGGTTCATCCTTCTCACTAAAAATATTGATTTATTGCTTATGTTATTTTATTTATAGTTTATTTTATGTTTTTTGGTGTCTGACCAATAAATGCCCGCATTGGGAATACGTGCCCGCATTGATTTCTTTAAAGAACCCCCCTTTATAGAAATATTTTTTTTTTCTAAATAATTCTGAAAATTCAAGGATAGGTACACACTAAAATTCGTTAATTTTTTGCCTATTTTTAGATAACTTAAACGTAGAAGAAGCGGAATTTAATCAAACTACAGTGAAATTATTGTAGAACATACGTTTTATGTTATAATTAATAAGCGAAACTCGCTTATTGTACTAGTTTAAGTATTAAACTTTTTTTTTATTATTTTTCACTTTTTTTTTTATTTTAATCACTCTTATATTTATTTTTCAATGCGGGCATTTGTTGGTCAGACACCTGTTTATTTAATGTTACGTATATTTTACATAACAGATACAAATTTTATTTTGAGTAGTTTTAATTTAAATTCATTAATAAATGTATAAATTAACATGTTTTTTTACTTTAAGTTTTTACCACTAACTTCGCTACAGTTAGAAATTTACAGGAAATCAGTATCAGGTAAGTAGGGGGTCTGCCCACTACGGAAAAACCTGGCAAGGGGTTTACGACACAAAAAGTTTGGGGAACTCGATTTAGAGAATATCGGGCATGTACGTTTGAAACATTAAACCACTGACGTACCGGCCATCAGTACTGTACTAAAACTTTCTTATCCCGAAAGTTTAGAAACCTCTCAAAACTATCAATATGTACTCTGGTAAAGGGAGGTTCTCCTTCAGATGAAAACTTCCGAGTTCCGTCACCAAGTTTCGCGGGCAGGCTCAGTTAGTTCCTTTGGGGCATTTTATTTCCATTTAACTTTTGAATTTTAAGTGGTCCGGGCAATTTCGTCTTGGATATTCACCCAGAAATGAATCCGGAATAGCGTGAGGGAGCTATTATGTTTTATATGAAGGAACGGGGGAAGCAGTGAAATCAATTCCCATTGTTGTACAGAAGTTCCAGCTTGTTATCTAGTTGAATAGGTGTTTGTTTTAGTCAGACGTGGACATTTTTTTTTAGTGAAATGTGTAAGCTTGTCTCTTCCAAATCGATGCTTTCTAAATGAATATTGCCATATATATATATATAATATATATATAGGTGAAAAATTAAAGCTTCCGCCTTTTTGTGGGGCTACTTCAAAAAAAATTTAAGCAAAGAGGACTCTTTATACTTTTTTAATTCTCTCTAGCTTCAATGGACTTTGCCGTCATCATCAGGAGCTGCAATTACAATGATAACAGTAGCAAACAAAAGTGTTAAAATGAATTTAAATTGACTCAATCTTACAGTAGTATGTTGAGGATGTTGCTAATGGTGTTTACGTATCGGATGAGGGAAACGTCCAGTAACATGGTGATTGAGAGATGGATACATGGTACAAAATGGTCAAAATTATATAAATATGACAAGAACAAGTTAAAAACAGATTAAAAATTATGTAAAAAACATTAGAGCATTACAGCGTGCGTGAAGCCACGTGATGAATTGCACAAAATGGTGGTCATGGAATAATGAGTGAGATGAACCCTTTGACAGAAGGCCCGAAGGTTGCAATGTCTGTATTGAAAGATGGAACGAATTATGGGTCCTGTGCCAAACGTTGCCAAATCACTTCAGATGATGTGATTTTCAGAATGTTATGTAAGAAATTGTTAAACCGACCAGAGGCAGTTGACTAAAACTATATTTTAATTAATGGGAATTTAAATTAACAATTATTAATAACTTGTGAAAAGAGAAATTATTAGATTTTGAGTGGAATGAAATTTATGGTGGAATCGCCAAAACACAGATTCTATTTATGTTTTGTGAAGAGTCGAAATTTGGGGAGATATGTAAGTTCTCCAATTTTTCGCAGTTTAGCCAATATGAGTAAATGACACTCAGTTGTTGTTTAACATCTGTCTTTTTGTTGATACAGTTGTTATTCATGAAAATGTGGGACATTTCCAGGAATAAACATTTGGGAAAGGTGTTTTTCTTTATCAAGAACTTTGATACTTGCGTAATAATATGGTAGGTAGTGTGGTTGAAGCCCAGGTGCTCAGCTTTTGAATCGAGAATACTGTGATTGACATACAAAAGCGTTGGGAGAAAGGGTTAGATACGCCATATTCACCTGTGCACTGTTGTCCAATCTATTGCTCGAATATTGGCCAAGCATCGTCAAAGGTTGATACGCTGCCTCATGAAACCCATGTTTAATCGATATTTCCCACCTTTGTTCAAGATTAAAACGATCCATTGCTCACAGCGGAAGTTTGACGCAATATATCTGTCAATATGTTGAGCGTGAACGCTGTCAAACATATTCAACTTGAAAAAAACAACTGATGGGCCTCCCTTTATACAAGGTGCTTCAGTTTATTGTTGCATAAGTCTATATAAACATGGGTCCGAAAAATGGCGTGTCTTCCAAAATACAAGGGAGTTTAATTTACTTTCTAATTATAGTTTTTTTTAATATTCGAACAATATTTGATATATAACAGTGACAAATTGGTATACGAGGGTTTTTTGGTACGACAAGGACGAACCATGGGCATATAGTTATGTACTGTAGCCGCTAGAGGGCCGCTCTCCTAATGTATATTAGTGTATTAAAATGACCGAAACTTTTTTCTTAGTGCAATCTTTTTGCTTTTTTGAATACAACCTACTGATTCTCCGCACTTTCAACATAAAAAGCTCTCTTGTGAGTTTTCGTTATAGTTAGCCGTTTTTGAGATATTTCGATTTTAAGGTTCGATGCATTTTTAATTATTTATGGGAAATAATATTTTTTTTTTACATTTTCGATTTGGGCATTACAAGTAATTAAGATGATCGTTTAGATTGTGTTTTTAAACACAGCAATAATTCCTAACTCCAAATAAACTCAAAAAAACAATATAATTTGTTTAATTTTCCAATATTATTTTTAACAACTTAAATTAATTATTACAACTAAAATGCTATTGGATAGTTAGGACAAACATACAAAATCTAAAGTAGTTGCTCGAAATGTAAACCTAATTGTTCAATTCACAATTCACATCTACGAATGATCGAACGTGGTATAGCATTATTCAAATAAGGCCTTATTTCATCACTTGCATTCCTGATTCTGTCTATTAGCATATCTCTTGTGGTTACGGGAGTCTGGTACACTTTTCCTTTTAGAAATACCCACACAAAGAAATCTAATGGACTTAGGTCAGGGGATCGTGGAGGCCTGGCGACTGGTCCTCCACGGCCGATCCATGTTTCTGGATAATTTTCGTCCAGCCAGTTTCTAACTGTTCTCGAATAATGAGCTGGACAACCATCAAGCTGGAACCAGGCCAATCTTCTTAAATCTAACATAACATCATCCCACATATTTGCATGTTCAGCCTTTAAAAATTCCAAGAAGGTCGCAGCATTTAACCTTGCAGGCAAAAGGTAGGGTCCAATAGTCGATTACAGTAGATACCAATCCACACATTCACACTAAATTCATGCTGAAAATTTCTTTCCCGAATTGCATGCGGATTTTCAGCGACCAAATATGTTGATTATGAAAATTTACCACTCCACTCTAGTGAAGCATGACTCATCGGTCCATAAACCGTTACTTAAAAACTCCCTATTATTATCAGTTCTATCAAGAATCCACTGACAAAATGTGATTCTTCGTTCTCCGTCCCCTGGCTGTAGTCCTTGCACAGGTTACAAATGGTAAGGACGTCTATGGTCATTTCTAAGAACACGGTGAACATGGCTTGCTGAAATTCCCAAGGCACCAGAAACTCTCATAACACTTGTTGTCGGATCTCTATCAAACTCACGCAGAATGATACGGGTAAATCTGCGCTGACGAACATTTATGTAATGATCCATTTTTGGAGATTTCCAAAACCATTTTCAATTATTTGGCGATGCACTCTTACAAATACTGAGCGAGTTGGATGTCGTCTTTTTGGAAATCTTCGTGCGTATTCTCTGGCTTTCTGCTGCGTTTCCATTTACAAAGCCATAGACAAAATGAATATCCGCTAACTCTTGATTGGAGAATAAAATGGCATTTTTATAAAACTTACAAAAAAAACAGGTGAAAGAAACTAAATTTCGTGCATTCACACTTGCAAAAACCGCTTCCGGTTTCAACAGACAACAAAACTAACTGATTGACGTTTCCTTATTCTGCTTTCAATTTCAAAAATATTTGCAGGCACAGCCTACATCTAAAAATTATCGAGATACTGACTTTTTAACGTTATTTTATCATAAATAATTAAAAATTCATCGAACCTTAAAATCGAAATATCTCAAAAACGGCTAACTATAACGAAAATTCACAAGAGAGCTTTTTTATGATGAAAAGTGCGAAGAATCAGTACTTTTAATCAAAAAGCAAAAAATTGGACTAAAAAAATTTTGGGTCATTTTAATACACTACAGGTACAGTAGAGAGCGCCCTCTAGCGGCTACAGTAAAACTATGCTCTCATGGTTCGTTTTGTCGTACCAAAAAACCCTTGTATAGCAAGTTTCACTGTTATACATCAAATATTGTTCGAAATATTTAAAAAAAACTATTTTAGAAAGTAAATTTATTTCGGAAGCCACGCATTTTTCGACCCATGTTCATATAGACTTTATGCATTAATTTTAAAAGTTCTATCGAATCTTAAAGTTATGCAACAATAAACTGACACACCCTGTATAAACTGACTTTCGTGTACTATATGAACTGAACTATAACGATGCGCACCCATGC